ATAGAATAGAATAGAATAGAATAGAATAGAATAGAATAGAATAGAATTCTTTATTGGCCAAGTGTGATTGGACACACAAGGAATTTGTCTTTGGTGCATATGCTCTCATGTACATAAAAAATAAAATATATTCATCAAGAATCATAAGACACAACACTTAGTGATAGTCATAGGTTACTAATAAGCAATCAAATCATACTAGGAAACAAACAATGTAAATTGTAAAGATACAAGCAACATGGTTATAATCATAAGTGGGAAGAGATAGGTAATAGGGAGGTTGAGAAAAATAATAGTAATACAGTCTTACTAAGTAATTTGACAGTGTTGTGGGAATTAGTTGTTTAGCAGAATGATGGCATTCAGGGAAAAACTGTCCTTGTGTCTAGTTGTTCTGGTGTGCAGTGTTCTATAGTGTCATTTTGAGGGTAAAAGATGAAACAATTTATGTCCAGGATGTGAGGGGTCTGTAGATATTTACATTGAAGCTTTTTTGTTCACTACGGAAACCAGAACTTAACAGTTGAAAGTTTCTGATCAGACCAAAATCTGTATTGATCAGAGTCATCACCCTAAATAATGTTATAGGATGGGAAAATCTTGATTATCTGGCAATTATGTGAAGTATCAGCCAACGATATTACAAATATTTGTCTATTGAGATTCTTGGATCATATTCAACATCAAGAGGCATAAATGAAATGAATGCATTTTGTAATACTGTGTAGTTTTGATTCACCTTGACATTTAAATCACCAGTGATAAAATAAGCCAGAGAATATAGGGCTAAGCAAAGGTTTAGATATTGTCCAAGTTTGCCTGTTTGAGTTGTGCATGGGCAGTTTTGAAACTCGAAAAGAAGGGAAAAGATGACCCAGGTAATTAAAGGGCTGTTTCAGGTCAAAACCAAACAAACTCTAGAACAGATTATGGTTTCTTTATTTTTTATTATTCTCTGCAATTCACTATGAATTCCATACTCAAAAGACTATCTGCTATTGATATTGACTGTTTCCTAGTAGATTTGATCGCTTACCCCCTATGACCAGGGGTGGGATTCTTCCAGTTCTCACCTATTCGCTAGAACCGGTTGTTAACATTCTAAGCAGTTTGGAGAACTGGTTGTTAGAAGAAATTACCGATCTAATCCTGTAAGGAAGGCAGGAAGGAAACATTCTAGTGTTGCTTACAGAAACTGCCTCTCCGTTAACCCTTATTACATTCTTGGCAGGACTAGACTTCCTGTCTCAGGAACGTTTCTGGAGTTTTTTCCCCCTCCTTTGGTGGTACTTTGCTTGTGTGGAGTGACCATTTAAAATCACAATGGCACTGAAAAAAGTGACTTATGACCATTTTTCACACTTACGACTGTTGCAGCATCCCCACAGTCTTGAGAAGCCAGGTGAGGAGATGCATGCCTCAATGTGAGTGATATTGAGTTGGCCACGCCCAGCCAATAACATGACCACCAAGCCACGTCCACCCAGTCACATGACCACCAAGCCACGCCACCAACTAAGCCACGCCCACAGTTTACAACAATTTAACCAATTGTTAAAAAATTTGAATCCCACCCCTGCCTATGACTGTCATTATATGTTATACCTTATGGTTCTTGACGAATGTATTTTTACTTTTTATGTACACTGAGAGCACATGCACCAAGACAAATTCCTTGTGTGTTCAATCACACTTGGCCAATAAAGAATTCATTCATTCATTCATTCATTCATTCATTCATTCATTCTAAACAGTCAGGATTGGATTTTAGTAGAGAAGATGGTAAAATGTGAACTGGACTATACTGTATCAAATACGGTAGATACAGGGCTGGTTTAAGAATTGTACTCAATGAATGTATGTCAGTGACTTCTTGTCAAGCAGAATGGAGGTGTTGGAGGTATATTGCAGCCCCCATTCCAAGCCCTGTAAAGTTCAATTCATTTAAAAACGACTTGGAAGAGAGGTTAGAAAAATAAATATCTTCACATTGAGGATGACAGAAAGATTGTGTGAATAGCATTCCTATCTGTGACTCACAAGTACTCCTTCTACTGAGTCAATGATAACTATTGTCACTAAATGTATTCTAAAGTTTACTACTAAAGCTAAAATGACAAAAGGTTATTACACTTGGCTTCATAATTAAAGGTTGTGGTTTAAAACCTGGGGGAGTTTTTTAATTACTATTTTTCTTTCCCTGGGCTACAAATTTGAGATTTTTTTCCTCAGTTCGGCAATTTATGTTTTCTCACTTCTCTTGTCAGCTTTGCCATCTTCACTAAGCCGGCTGGCATCTTGCCATAAATGGAGTGAGGGGGGCAAAGCAATTTGGGGGGGAAATGTGCAGAAGGGAAGAAGGAGGAGGGAAGGGGGGAGGGAATGGCACTGATAGGAATCAGAAGTGTAAAATCGGATTGATTCAGCCACTCAAGGATGCTTGGCCTGAGAGAGAATGTGAAGATGTTTAAGACACGCCTGACATCAAAGCAGTTCCCAAAACATCGTCTGGGATGCTTTTGGACACTAATGATCTGGTCAAGCGGGGAGCACCGTGGAAGGGGAAAACCTGTAACTTGTATTCAGAAATACTCAGTTCTAGCCTTGCTTTTGTTGCAACCACTAATCCTTAGTAAAAGAACCTATCATTTCAATCAAATGGAGTCAAGAGTCTTTCCTAGGGACCTAGCTGAGGTAGGCCTGACATCTCCTATTCTTCAGTTTCTACATTAATGATATGGTGAAATGGTTAAATAAACCAAATCATCACACACATACCCCCAAAAACAGGGGATCAAAGCATTACCATGTTGCTCTCATCCAATATTGTAATAATGACAAACTGGTCATAAACTACCAGTCACTTGAAGTAAAAGTGATTCCCTCCGCATTTCTGTCCTCACCCAATATCTTAAAATATAAAGTTTAAGTTTGAAAATATATAACAAAATGTGATTATATCAATAAACCATTATATTATGTGGCAGGTATGACTTTGGTATTATGCAGTACTATAAAACATGCAAGTGCTCATTTTGATAATCAAAAAGAACCAAACTAGACATTGATCAAAATGCAGTTGTCAAAAGCAAGATTTTTAAACCATGCAGGAGTTTTGAAGTCAGCTTATCTGCCTTATTTTAAAACTTCCACACAATAGACAGTGGTACATAAAATCAATAAGCTATCAATAAGCTATCTCCAACTGATCATTTTTTAACCTATAAACATTTACCCCTTATCTTCATGCTGGTGTCATTTCTATCCCAGGTCATATCTTAAGCAAAAAATCTACCCTATTATGTTCTATATTTCAAAGCACCAATCAGCCATAAAACACAGTGGAGAATAAGAGTCCAGACAATTTCTAATTATCTTGACAGCAAGGGCTGGAAACCGCAATGTTCACTCATCTGGACAGACTATATATGGAGAAATCTAAAGCTGTATTTAAGGCAATATACATTTTGCAAGATTTAAAAATCTCCTTTGAGCGTTAGCCAGAATCAATTTTCAATATTATCATTTCCCTGGTTGTCTCATAATATTTACATTGTATATTATTAACTGGTGTATATCTCTGTTTACACTTAGAAATTACATTCTCTATGCTGGTAACCATTATAAATCCAATCATAAAACAAGATTACATATGCAAAAGAATGCTACTTGAATGCTACTTGAATGTGAAACTGTAGAATGAAAATCCCTTGTCTATTCAGTATAAAGTAAGCCGCAGGAACAGGTTTTTCAGGATTTGGGTGGAGATGAAGATTCAGTCTTGAAAGAATTAAAATAGTAAGTAGCTATGGGATGAGATCGTTTCTCTGTACAATTTTGATACGTGTGAGTTTTCCATTAACACCTTAATTGTTCTTTTTTTTTAAATGACCTTTTTTACAACCTCAAACTTAATTCTTTATTATATTGGGAAAAAAATAACTTAACAGCATATTATTAAACAGCATATTATGCTCTTGCAAACTAAAGCAGAATAAATAAGGAATACTCCCTTTAAATAATTCTCTCGTCTCTAAACTCTTACTTTTTCAATATGTTCTGAAACTTTGCCTGTGAAAGACAGATAGCGGCATAGTTTTACTATTATGCCATAGATGTAGTTTTACTATTATGCCTTGTGTACAAATTTACTCCCATGGTTAGCTGTCCCTGGTGAGATTTTAAGATTTTTAAAAACCATCTTCTAAGCAATTCTTTTGCTCGGCAGAAACAAAGTACAAAGGATCATAGTGCAAAACATCTTAGGTTTCCAGAGGTTCTGAAGGCATTGTATTTGGGCATCCTGTCTGAACTTCCGAGGTGGTAAATCAAATCCAAATAGAGAGAAGGAAAGTTCATGAATTGCCCTGCTCTTCTAAATATCATAAACTGAACACTTTGGGGGAAAAAATCTCATGCCAATCTATAAATATCTGCTTACCTCTTTATGCAACCAGTGTCCAAATCCAGATTCCCCAGAAATACTGTTGTGCAGTTCAGCTTACAAAAAAGTAATATTGTCTGCACCCGGCTGTCTTCACAGCTTTGTGGCTTCTCCAGTAGAGATGAGTCACACTGGGAGGAGAGCGAAGGTGTGGAAAAGGGAGGGCACCTTTTTAATAGTTTAAATACACTATAGTAACTTACAATTGTTTATTGTTGTTTTACACTGATACTTGCCTCATTTCCAAAACGGGATGTGCGTATTGGTGTGGTGGCATTCTACCATACGATGAAAGAGTGTATATCTGTATATAATATAAAATGTATGTACGTGCATATTTCAACAACATTTAGGCTTTATTTGGGGGAAATTACATATAATACAAATATTGGATATAAATCTAATATTGCATATTGGCTCTAATAGTTAAATTGCTGCCAAAATAACCCCCCCCCCAAAAAAAAAACAATATGGGAAAGCCTGTTTATTTTTATATAAACAAAATAATTTAGGAATTATACCAATGAATGATCTATTTATTAATATGGTGCATCCCTAACCTTTCTCTCTTTTCTAAGATGAACCCCAACTAAGCCTTAGCAGTACTTCAGTGCCAATTTACTGGGGCTCCAAACTCCCTTGACCTTTCCTTCAGATATCTGCTCCAGTTCAAGGTTCATTTCTCCCACCAGTGTCCTTTGGTTTTTTGGAGAGCAGCATGGAACAAATTACCCCAAACTTCACTTCTGATACGAAGGACATTTTTATCTCTTCCTAACTATGGATTCTTCTTTCTCTCACGGAAGCTGAAATGTAACCATATTATAGTACTCTACCATCTCACCAGCTCCTGGAACGGACAATTGAACATGGCTGCCTTAACATGCCCACTTCATCTCGGGGTGGGGGGGTGGGGGGGGGGCAGCATGGCTGACCCAACATGGTCATTCTTTTTTTTTTTTTAATGTATTAAAGGAAAGTTTAATTAGTTTTAGCACAGAGATTATTGTGACGTTTGTCTGTATGGATCTTTGTCTTTTGAGTTTGTATATTTGTATATTTTAATTTTTTTTAATTCAATAAAGTTTGTTTTAAAATTTAAAAAAAAAGAAAAAAAAGAATAGATTAGACAACCATTTAACCAGGGTGGTATAAGGTTCCTGCCTTGAATTGGGGGTGGACTAGAAGACCTCCAAGGCCCTTTCCAGCCCTATGACTCTATGTTTTCCACCTACAGTGCTCTTTTTTATATATATAATAATTTTATTCTAGAAAAAAAACGTTTATTTGACATACATTTAAAACATGGTCATTCTTACTTGGCTGGCTCTCCACCAGCGCTCCCCTCCCGCCACTGGTCCGCCAGCACTCTGACCCCATCCCTGCATCCCAGGCGTATCACAGAGGAATACTTTTCCATGACCAATTGGCTGTGTGGGACATTTAAACGTGCATCGGGGCAGCCAATCCCTATGCTGAGGAAGGGGCAGCCTTGGGCACAAGGAGGCAGGGGACACAGTGGTTACTTTGTTGTGCACACACGAGGAGGAAAAAGCAGCCCTTGGGTGGTGGTGGTCAGGGGCGGGGCCTTTCCCTTCCCACCCACTCAGGAAGCTGTCTTTCCTGCTGGCGTAATGACACATATAATAATAAACCAATCTGGCAACGTTCAAGATAAAGGATAAGAGAACAATTAGTAAGTGAAGGATTTATCTGTGAATGGTTTAATTATTATAAAATTTTTGAGAGATTTAAACTTGATTTTTAAAAAGTGTTGTTTTTGCAGAAGTTGATTGATTGATTAATTGAATGAATGAATTGGATGTCAGCTTATGTTCTGGAGATGATCACTTGATTGCTTAGACCAGGGGTGTCCAACCTTGGCAACTTTAAGCCTGGAGGACTTCAACTCCCAG